TAGAGGTTTTTAACTTAGCACTGCACCATTACATCAAATCTTGATACCTGTATATACATGTAACACTGAACACCAGCATCAGACCTGAAACAAGTATCCAATCACCTCTGGCTTTAGTGTGGTTTTTTTAAAATTGCTTTGCCCTGGCAAATGGAAGCGGCAATTCTTCATGTGCTGTGTTACAAAGGCACAATGCTGCTAAATGAACTGAGCCAGCATTCATGGCCTAAACTTAAGACCCAGCCCCACAAACATTTGGTCTGTGACTAAAAGCTGGCTTTGCCACTTTTGCACTGTTTTCAGAGAAAAATAGACCGCCTACACCAAGAAGCAAGTATCCTCTAAGAGGGATATTTTTGTTTCTGCCTACAGCATTATTAACTGAATGCTAGAGCATGAGTGCTCTCATTCAAGGGAAGAGATCTGTGTGATCTGAATTTAGATATTTGCTTCTCCTTATGGTGGAGCAAGTAGCTCCACTATGAAGATAGTTTTTGTTAAATCCAACTTTAAGTTATGTAAAATTTTTCAAACAAATGGTGAGTTAAAACACTCTTTTGGGAATATTTTCATAGCAGATGCATCAGCCTGCATCCTTTGCTGTGGTGGCAATTCTCACAATCAGGCACTACTCCTAGCTACAGTACATACATGAGGACCACCCTCCCCTATGTATGTACTTGTTACATTTTTCCCTTACATTGTGGAGTCAGCAAAATGACAAATACCCCTCCTAACTTTCTGTAGCTTGAGCAAGATGGATTAGATCTTACTTTGACAAATGGGTTTATGAACACAGGTGCTAGTCTTACTGTTCATTAAGGGGTGCATACTCCCCTACAAGTGAGTTAAGTATAAACTGCTGAATGCTTTACTCTTGCTTTAAAGCTAGAGCTGTATGGGTAGTAAGCTGGCTTTTGATTGGATGAGTACAGTTAATTACTAGCTACTAGGAGCACACTTCTCCCAGAGCCATGGATGGAAATACACATATACTACTGCTGACTAGTAAATGTGTAACATACTGCAAAATGCCAAGGGGGCTAGCAATCCCATAGCTTAGGGCCAGGTCTAAGCTAAGGGGTCTGCCATTGACCTAAACTGAGGGATGGTTTAAAAAAAAAAAAATACTCTTGGCTTTAGAAAGGAATATCAACATTTTTCAGGGGTAACATATCAAGGATGTGTTACACAGGAAGTGGCCACAACCATCCCCTTTGTGTAAGTCTAGCTCTCTAACACAACCTATAAAAGCTTGTTCCTTTGACAGTGAATGCCTTCAAGTCCTTGTCAGACAACAGGGCTGCTGTCATCTACTGGTAAATTTGAGATATATAATTTCCCCACTGTCAGGAAAGGGACACAATAGTAGGCAGACCTGCTGATGGAATGCTGGTGTTGCAGCCACTCAGGACTATTTTGAAAAGATTTCCTCGAGTTGACTGCAATTAAATATGGAGGCTTGCTGTTGCAAACTTACTTTTAGGCAGTTTACTGAAGAATGTTTACTACCTGTTACCCCCTGCAGGGCATCAGAATATGCTTCAGTGTCACAATTTCTCCAATGCCTGGTAACTACAGCTCCCCTGAGGGTAGCAAGCCAGCCTCTGTGGTATAGAATAGCAGGGTTGGAAAGGACCTCAGGAGTAGGGTGACCAGACAGCACATGTGAAAAATCGGGACAGGGGGTGGGGAGTAATAGAAGCCTATATAAGAAAAAGGCCCAAAAATCAGGACTGTCCCTATAAAATCAGGACATCTGGTCACCCTACTCAGGAGGTCAAAGCAGGATCTAATCCCAACTAAATCATCCCAGCTAGGGCTTTGTCAAGCCTGACCTTAAAAACCTCTAAGGAAGGAGATGCTAAAGGTGTATTTAAAAAAAAAAAAAAGTAGGAGTCAGCTAGCATTTAAGGTTGCATCAGGAGCTGCTCCAAAACTACAGAAATAAGGGAAGGAATCTAACCCCTTATTACCTACAACACTGTTGCTAATATACTCCATAAGACATCTCTTGCCAGCTCCCAATACCAATTTACATGTGTTGTTCCCAACAGTATGTGGCTTTTTAATATATCCATTATAGAAGATGAGCTAGGGTTACCATACGTCTGGTTTTTCCCAGACATGTCTGGTTTTTCGGCAATCAAACCCCCGGCTGGGGGGAATTGCCAAAAAGCCAAACATGTCCGGGAAAAATACCTTCCGGGCACTTCCCCTCCCACGGCTGCTCTGCTCCTCCCCTCTCAGACTTCAGCTCTGTTTAAGAGCTAAGCTGGCCGAGCCAGCACCACTGGCTTCGGGCAGCCCCCCTTGCCTCCGGACCCCAGCCACCAGCCGGGCACTTCTCCTCCCCAGCTCCAGCGGCGCAGGGTCTGGAGGCAAGGGGGGCTGCCCGAAGCCGGTAGTGCTGGCTTGGGTAGCTTGGCTCTTAAACAGAGCCGAAGTCTGAGAGGGGAGGAGCAGAGCAGCTGGAGCCCAGGAGGGGAAGTGCCCGGCGGGGTCACAGGGTCTGGAGGCAATAGGGGCGGCCCGAAGCCCAAGTGCTACCAGCTTCACGGTTTGCCGGGCAGCCTCCAGACCCTGCGCCCCCAGCTGGGCGCTTCCCCTCCCAGGCTCCAGCTGCGCTGGGGAAGCGCCAGCCAGGGGCGCAGGGTCTGGAGGCTGCCCAGCAAACTGTAAAGCCGGTAGTGCTCGGGCAGCCCTTTTCGTGTGGCTGGGAGGGAGGAGGGGGAGTTAGGGCAGGGACTTTGGGGAAGGGGCGGAGTTGGGGAGGGCCGGGGTGGGAAAGGGGCGGGGCCAGGGCCCCGTGGAGTGTCCTTCTTTTTTTTTTTTTTAAATATGGTAACCCCAATAAATTATTATGTATCTTATAGATTTATTTTCTCTGTTGTAGTTACTTTGAAAGTAATGATCAAATCCCAGTGCACACAGTCAAATATGCATCCGAAGAAGTGGGTTGTAGCCCACGAAAGCTTATGCTCTAATAAATTTGTTAGTCTCTAAGGTGCCACAAGTACTCCTGTTCTTTTTACAGTCAAATAGTTGTCCTTCCTTCTCATCTCTCATCTACCCCTAGTGTCTGCATGCCGATGCATTGTGTTGCATTTAAAAAAAAAAATTGGATCAGACACCATGTCTGTCTTTGCCATTTGTAAAATGCCAGAACGCCTTTTGGGTGGTACGAATTAACTGTTATATGCAGCTGTCCAGAAATAGCCTGGTTCTCTTACTGCTCCTGCAATAATATGCCCTACTACCAAGAAATACTGTGTGCTCTTAATATAGTCTCTCTACTTACAGTAGAACTTTGTGTCTCCAGTTAGAAACAGAGAATTGAAACTCTACATGATCTGTTTCCTTATGGGAGATGTATTTTGCAGCCCGGAAGATCAGGAACAGTGAAATTTAGCACCTACCACAGTACTGGTGCACTTGATTTGTGTTTCATGACTTTCTTTTCTTATTGCAGGTTGATTTAAAAGATGTATGATAGCAAGTTGATTTTGTATGTTTGAGCTCCAGTTTTTAGTAGAAGGTTAGTTAAGCAATTGGGGCAGTAAACATAATGGACAATCTTGACTTGAAAGTGATTTTTTTTGGGGGGGTGGGGGGGGAGGAGGGTCAGACCAGTTAGTACTGAGATGCAAATATAACTGTTATACTGAGAGACCAGTTTCTCTCCATATTCTTAATGAATTCTAGGAAGCTTCATTGTAGTAGCTTTTGGGGGATGGCGGGAGGTAGTCTTCCTGAAGGTTTCTGAGATAAATATAAACATCTGTGCATAAAGAATCTGCTGCAGGCTTAACTCTACGTTTTTATTTAAATAAAAGTACCTGTCTGACTAGCTGTGACCTGATATACTTGGGTTCTTGTGTCTTGGGCAGAGCCGGCTCCAGGCACCAGCCGTGCAAGCTCGTGCTTGGGGCGGCAGATTCTACGGGGCGGCATTGCGCCCAATCCTAGGGTGGCACGGCCACTTTATTTATTTATTTATTTGGTTTACCGATCCAGCCGCCCTGTAGGTAGGGTGACCAGACAGCAAGTGTGAAAAATCGGGACTGGGTTGGGGGGTAATAGGCAGAGCTGGCTTTAGGAAGTGCGGGGCCCGATTTGAACAGTTTCGACGGGGCCCCGACAGGGATGACTAAAAAAAAAAAAAAAACGTTAAAAAAAACAAACGTGGGGCGTTGTACTCACTGGGCGTGCGCTCCTAGTCTTTGGCGGCGGGTCCGTTCACTCGCTCCGGGTCGTTTGGCGGCACTGAAGGACCCGCCGCCAAAGTGCCGCC